GAAGTCATATTTCAAATGACTCATATTTGTTGCCACAACTTAAAATTCAAATTTCATGTTGTAGGTTTTAAAGATTGTCAAATCAAGCATTATTTCTGAGAGAATGGTTTATTCTATGAAAAAAATGCTAAGTGGCATTTTTGTTTAAACTTATCTCAGCTACATCTTTCACTCGAAAGCAATTTTTTCTACTGCGTACACGTTTTTGTTAAATCGATTTTTTTTAGGGTTTATCCATCTACAAGGGGAAGATTTTAGGGGGAAGGCTGGGGATAGAAGTAGTAAACTTTTGTGCATCTTTTTTTATGTCCCACAATTGATATTGTGAGCTAAATTCAACTTCTCGTAAGATTTATAGAAGTCAAATCACTGACGACTGGACTATATTCAATTATATTTGGATTTCAATGATCTTTGTATTTTTAAGACGTAGCATAAATTACCTCATTTCTACTCATATCTTACGCACCATGATTATTTTTTCTGTAGATGATATAATCGGCCACCCTTGCTTTAAAATATATTAATTTACATCTTTTATAAAAGAAAATTGCAGCTATCGTTCTTCAAAAATACATTTCATCTATATTATGTACTTTCCATGAATATTTCAGATCGTACGATAAGCGTTTTTAAAAACCTCAAAGAAAAACGAAAACGAAAACATCTTTTTAAGAACTCGCCACAAAATAGATTTCAAGAATATTAAAAAGCGAGATACCTTCATTAAAAACCGGAAATAACGTTAACACGTTGCAGGGACGTCGAGGCTGAGATGCCAGCCGTTGACATTAATGAAGAGCCTGTCTTCATTATCACTCAAAATTCAGGATACACGGTGAAAAATTAATCCGCCGAAATATAATTTTGTTGGTGTTGATAAAAAAAAAATCTTTTAGCAAAACTCTATTAACGAATTCGCATTATTGGTATAAATTATCTAATATATATATATATATATATATATATATATATATATATATATATATATATATATATATATATATATATATATATATAAATATATATATTTAGGTGATAAAATCCTGTCAGGTATTAGATCCTTAAGTTTCTGTCAAAGAGTGATGACACTCTTGGGTTTTAGAAGAAATGTTATATTTCCAATATGAAATTTATGTTAGGATCAATTTCAGAAAAATTCAGATTTAGAAATACGGCTCGCATTCCCTCTAAGGGGAAAATTTACTCATATCAAATACCTATGGTGTCAAAAGTCTTGAGCCCTATTGGGACTCTTTCCGTGTTATCAAGTCCTAGGTGACTTGGTATGTTAGAGTATCTCCTAAAAATTTTCGTACACGTCTGGACGTTGAGAGTTGTACCGCTTTCTGCATGGTCTTGCATTCTTGTAGAGTTTTTTTAGCTTTTTTATGTTATCTATCAGGTTCTTTGGAATTAATCTAGTAGTATAGAGAATAATAGGTATGGTTAGAGTACTTTTCATTTTCCACTATGCTCGTATTTAAGATTTCCAGATCCCTGTACTTGGCGATTTATTGTTCTGTTTAATACGAATATTATTGTTGTTGAATATCGCCACATCAATTAATGTTGGGTGTCTCTTTAATTTATTAACTAGTATATGTAAGATTTGGTCTATTATATGCCACTGTTTGGTCTGTGAGCACAGTGTGGCCTCAGTATAGCTTGTACTTGTCATTCTCAAGTATACTCTCAGAAATATATTGATAATATGGAAAATGGTTTGTCTGAAGAAGTCCCAGTTTATTAGCTACCTCTTAATGAAGGATCTTTCCTAGTGAGGATCTTTCCTAGTAATGGCCAGTGGTGAACCTTCTGTTTCAGGAAACATCTTTTCTGATGTCAGCCAATAGTTTAACGTTATATTGTCGACATTTTCTTGACCTAACTTATTGATATGTCGCCCATGCAGAGATTTATTCAGGTGCGCATTTTTTTGTCCTTAGTAAGATGGTTTATGTGCATTTCTGGTTCCCTCAGTTTGATCTGTATTGTATTATCTACTGCACAAATCGCGCGATGTAACGAGGATGTCTCAGTCTGCACCTGAAAATAAAATCTTAAATTAGTAATCTGTTTTTCTAGTTGCTCATTTATATCCATAAGTCCTCGTCCTCCTTAATACTGCGGTAATGTCGTTCTTTCTACTGCACTTCGAGAATAGTGTTTTTGTGCCTTTGTGAGGTGTTCGTTTTTCTATATTTTCTATATTTAAGATTTTCTATATCCGTTTTTGTCCATTTAACAATACCAAATGAGTAGCTAAACTCGGAACAGGCTTAGGTGTTTAGTGCATTAAACAAATTTTAATTAATTATTTCTTAAACAAACAAAGACACATTATAATTATGTTATTGGTTTTTATATATAGAAAATAAACTAATATTGATAGTTCTATTATAGGATATTTCTTTTTTAAGGATTTTAACATCTTCAAAATTCATTCTGTGATTCTGGACATAAACTAGGTTAGCTTAAGATCACTTATCATAATAAAGCCCACAGCCACTTTTATGAGTAGTGATGGGGTCTTTAAGATGTCTAGAAGTTTGACCAATATATTTACTGTTACAATCATTACAAGGAATGCTGTAAACTACATCTGATAGCTAAGATCATACCGTCTACATATTTTTTTAAGAAAAAAAAAAGTTTAACGATAAAACTGAGATGATAATGTCTAAAAGGGTATCCATTATATACGCAGTCAGAATGGAGCTGATTTTTGCTTCCTTTGTGTTTCAAAGTTTTTTAGAATAGAATAGAAATATGCTTTATTGTCACTGAAAATTGTACAATTTTATGGACAAAGCTTATAAAAAGTAAAAAGTAACAATAACCATTAAAATTACTAAACTTACATAAATGGTCAATATCACAAAACAAAAAAAAATATACTTGCAATACTTTGCAAAATTTCACTAATTGCATTAAAACCTTACGAATAACTAGTTTGCGAATAAGTTTAAGCTGCTGCATGTGATAACAATATACATTATAAATGTAATTTTCTAGTTATTCGTTAAGAAAACCCTTTAACTGAATCATACGGTCCTTTTAGATAAATAGACCTTATCCTTTCAGATAAATAGGCTTTTGTCAATTTACGGAACTTGGGAAAGAAGTTATAGGTTTAAGTTGCAAAGGAAGATGGTTGTATAGTTTTTTTGTCGAATATATTATTGATTTCTTTACTAACTCAGTGGACGAGATCGGTAAATACACATCAAAGCTTGAGTTTCTGTTGGAGTAGTCATGATAAGGTCTTGCTGGAAAACACGTAGGTTTTGTTTGTTTATAATAAGTTAAAGTTAAAGTATAGTTAAAAGAAAAATTTATTATTATTGAATAAAAACTAATTAAGTTTATAAAAATATCTTTATCTATTGTACACTGTCTACTGATTTCCGGCCAATATTAACTTACTGATCGTATAGAAGCTTCAAGATAAACGTTATTGAATAATGAAACCACATCCAAACTAACAAACACATAACCTTATGGTAGTTACAACCTGTTGAACTTATTATTAATTCCAAAAGAATATTTTATAAAGTATTAGTTATCATATAGATATAGACAGAAGTTATAACATAACCTGAAATATTTTCAGTAGAAGCCGCTATTGATGAGAGTATAGATGTAACAATTAATGTTGGTTTATGTATTTTTGGTAATGAGTAATATTCTGGTGAAATGTTTTTATATAGATTGTGTAGATTAACTAGGGTTTAACATTAAAGTTGATAAGAATCGCTATTATTTATAAGTCCTTTAGAGAGTTTTAGATAATCAATTCTGTACAGAACTCTAAATATATATCTGAAGAATATTCGGATAAAAGAAGTTGTAGCATGTTGGGAGACGATAGAAAAATCCATCAATGCTGCATTGACGAATTGAGTTGAATTTTGTTAACAGATTTAGAGTTTGATGATACTCAACGATCGTCTACAGAAGAGTAACTCTTTAAGTCAAATATATCTATCCCTAAATGATTAAATTGCTGATTATGTAGGAGGAGAAATTATCTTAACAAAACTGCGTTTTATATAGGTACTTGCGTTGGCATAAGTATTATTAGAGTTTGCACTTGGATGCTGTGGATTTATTATATTTGGAAGTACTGAAGTAAACCCTAGTAGTAGCGACAGAAGTTGAGCATAAAGTTTTATTTGAAGGTTCGGCTAAAAGAGTTGTTTCAGAAAAATGCAATAATGTGCCAGCTTTATGAGAGTTCTCTGCAATTTTATATAATGGGAGAGGTGTTGATAGGTTGAAGGTTATTGCTTCCAAAGTTTGTAAAACGATATTGTCGGCGAATAATGTTGATTAAAAATGTTACTATAACTAGAAGTATCGGAATTTCTTGATTATGGAGATTTCCAGGTGAGTTTACAGTTAAAGTATTACTGTGTATATAATTAATAAAATCCTTTTTAACAAATGCGTAGTAGATAGATATAAACAAATTCTATTATTTAATAAACAGAAAAAGAAAAAAATATTTTTGGATCCCACTTTGCTTCCTAAAGGGATAAGGCAATCCTGAAGACGAGCTCCATCATTTGCGAAGAAAATATATCTTGTTTTTTTTGGAAATTGCTGCCAAGCTTAAGCTGTGGAATATGAGTGAACGGTGGTGAATTGGGTTTGATTAGGGGTGCGAATTGATTCAATATTTGACGTCACAGATATCTTGGACAGTTGAATCGAAATTCTCGCTGCTGACCTATCTAGTTGCCAATAACCAGGGCATGCTCACCTTAACACAACTTGAAATGATGCGAAATTTTATTTAAGGTTATTTAAATTTTAAATCGAAACCAATTTTACACAAAACCTTTTTAAGTGATATAATTTTTTACTTGAAAATAAATTATTTTAATAACTGATTAATGTATTCTTAAATATACTGTAATTTATTATTCATTCTTATTATAATAATATTATACCTTAAAACTCTTTCAGTGTCTTTATATATTTTTTTCTTTCAGGAAAATACGCGCAAGTATTACAAAGCACCTCGAGAAAAATAAACCCCACACAAAGTCTTCGAATATTAAAAACAGCCGCACCTTCATTATCAAAAGGAAATAAGCAACGGCAGATAGACCCCACCCCAGCCGCTGCCGTTAATGAAGAGACTTCTTCTCTACCGGCCGAGAACGCCATAAAATCTACGAGGAAGTCCTTAGGCGCTTCCGGGGCCTACAAAAGATTCAAAAACAGGCACAAAGAACCAGACGTCGCCGTCTCCGAAGAGGACAATGATCGTTCCGACGCTGCAACAGCCCAACCCAATTACAAGAAATCTCAGAAAAATAGGAGTCAATCACAGAACTCAAGAAACTCTAAGTGAGTATTTCTTTTGTAAGTGATTACTTTTAATTGCTTCAGTTGTTTTTAAAGTTTGCTGGTATTTTCTCTCTCGAGAAGTAGAAATTGTGATTGCGAATAGAAATTCTTTTCCTTTTTTTTTATTTCTTGCTAATGAAAAAGAGGCGGCGTTTCAGTAATTTAAAAGGTGATTGAGTACAACTACGAGGGGTATACATTGTAACTATCTACAGTTTTATAGTTTATATTTAATAATGTAACTAATTTCAAACGTAATTATTTAAAAGATATTAAAGGATCATATAATGATTATACAGTGTGTCAATGTTAATACTTACAATGGGCTATATCTCACCAACAAAAGCTGATATCGAAAAATGCTTGAAACTATTTCTAGAATAGTAAAGTTCAACTAAAATGATATCAAAAAGCCACCCACATCAACTCCCTAGGCTCCACCCACCAAAACCAAAAAGTTTAAATTGACAACCCCTAATTGTGATACATCATGGAAATGACTATAGAAAATGTTATACAATGGTATAAATAACAATTAAACAGGGTTATTCAATAATTGTGAAACTTTGGCTTAAATGGAAAATTTAGTGAGCTTTTTGGTAATTCTGTTGATGACTCTGTATAATCATTGTTTAATAATTATACAAGGCGTTAATATCAGCCGGCTCACTATGACTTTTGTAATTGTAATGCTATCTTCTAGACTATTATTGTTAATGATAAGTGCCCGTCGGAATTTTTTTTGTTAAATAAAAACTTAATTTACCTTTTTTGCAAAACATATTGAAAAAATCTGTTTTTTAGGTTCAGTTAAATTCAATTTTAATAATTTTCATCATTTGTACGATCGGTACTGTCATTCAGCTGTAGTTGTCGCGATGGTTTACAGCATATATTCATATTTGCTTTCCAGAACCAGTGATATTTACGAATAGTTCAAAAATATTTCATGAAAGATATCTGGACAGAAATATAGGTCACGTGTACGTCTTCAATTTAGTTAAAAAGTCTAGAGAAACAGAAATGAAGCATCTTAAATTCAGGCCTTAAAATCTTTACAATATAGCCTACTTTGCAACACGTCAAGTATCTGCAATGACAGGACTTTCACATGCGTCAGTTAGAAAGGTGTTGAAATTACATAAACTTTACCCGCACAAAACACAAATTCTTCAAGAACTAGGTGATGATGATCCAGACCGACGAATTGAGTTTTGTGAACTCGTGACTGAAAGAATTCGTGTTCAACAGAGAATGTTAAATAATGTCTGTGTCATTAATGAATGTACTTTTATGCTAAATGGTAATGTAAATAAACAAAACTGTCGGTACAGGAGTGATGCGAATCCGCATCGATTCAGAGAAGGTCACACTCAATATCCTGAAAACCGAATGTTTGGGCAGGAATATTAGGCGATGCTATAATAGGCCCCTTGTTTATACCAGATAATTCAAGATACGTCATTTATTTCGATATGCTGGAAAACACCATCAAAACGTTAATTTTTTATGGATTAGAGAACCAAAGAGACGATCAAGGCAACTTAGCTCAAGATGAAGATTCGCTGCACTTAAAACCATATGGAGCACCTCCTTACTATGCAGATCCAGTTAGGCACTGCTTGGATACTAATTATCCAAACGAATGTATTGGAAGAAAAGGTACTAATAAGTGGTCACCGAGATCACCAAACTTATTGCCACCTGACTTTTTTCTATGGGTTTACCTCAAGTCAGTTGTTTATAAAGCTCAACCTGCGTCACTTTGGGGATTGCGAGAAACATTAAGTATGTCGCGCTCTTACTAGAACATTTTCCAAAGTTCATGCAGAATTTAGAAATAGGCTGAACTATGATTTACAAAACAACGAAACCTACTTTGAACATTTACTTAATTGATTTTTTAACAAATTTGTAGTTTATCAAAAACCTCATTAAATTTTCCATTTAGGCCAAAGTTTCACAATTATTGCTTCACCCTGTATAATTATTATTTATACCGTTGGATAAAATTTTTTATAGACTTTTAAATGATGTATAAAAGAAGGGTTTCACAATTTAAACTTTTTGGTAGAGGTGAATGGAGCCTAGGGAGTTGATGGGGTGAGTTCTCTTTCATGTCATTTTAGTTCCCCCTTACTATCCTAGAAACGGTTTCAAGCATTTTTTGATTTCAGCTTTTGTGCGTAAGAGATAGCCCATTGTCGGTTTTATAATTGACCCACTGTATAAAGGTTAACAATGAAACAGTATCAAATTCTTCCTAAACATCGTAAAATACTTTCGAGAAACACAATTCAGATTTCTGCTTTATAATCTGAGCCTTCTAAAAATTGCAAGGCAAACAGACGTTGATAAAAGATGTTAAAAGAGACATGGGGAATCTAAAATTTGCATTCCACGACATGTCTTTTACAACTAAGCAGAAATCCTTAGCGAATTGTGCTTCTAGTACTCACACAGAGTAAATCCGAATAAAATGAAGAAAGGCAGCAAATATTTGATTTCACGCAAACAAATCCTATGTATCTCTTCATACGTATTTCGACCTAATAGGTCTCGTCAGAAGAGCTATTCATAGGAGTCCGTAACGTGAAAAATCAATATTTTCTGTCTTTTAAGAAGCAACAATAACATGGCTTCAATATGTTATTGTTGCTTCTTAAAAGGCAGAAAATATTGATTTTTCACGTTGAGGACTCCTATGAATAGCTCTTCTGACGAGACCTATTAGGTCGAAATACGTATCAAGAGATACATAGGATTTGTTTGCGTGAAATCAAATATTTGCTGCCTTTCTTCATTTTCTTCCTAAACAATTGAGGGATAACTATATAAATGGCTGGATGAATGCTATTGGAAGATATAAATAAGTTCAATAAACAGAAAGCGAAATTCAGTGAATAAGAAAAATTAGATTTTTAATAACTTTTTCAATGACAGAGGTTATTGAATAAAGAATTCTTTTTTATTATTCAAAACTAATAAAGAAGTGCGCCAACTACCTATAGTTTGTCGTGTAATTTCTTGATATCTATAACCTTTATTAACGAAGAAAACAACTTTCTGTGTGCAATGGAATACATTAAAACCTTTCCGAACACCTCGCCTACTATATTTAAAAATGCCGTCTCTTTTTTTCGATTTTTTTATTTATTCAACTTCTGGTTAGAATTTTATTATTTATATAAACGATATCAGGGCAACTGCAGCAGTTGTGCGATTTTCTTACCTGCTTTATAAACCATCGATGGGTCAGTGTGGCCATTTTAGATTTTCGAATTTTTTGGTAACATCCGTTTTTAAATTCACTCTTAGCAAATTATTTAGTCGTTCTTTCTTTTGATTTACAATAAATATTATTTAACTATTATTGGTAAATGAAGATAAGTTAGTAAGTATTTTCTGGTCTAGTGATTTTGCAAAAAAATAAGAATTATTAGCATATAAAAAAATTACAAAAATGACCAAAAATTGACAGATTGACATTTCGTAACGAATAATTTTACAAAATGTTTTAAATATTATTAATATCATGGTTTTGTTGACTGATTGTAAAAATCAATCTCTAGGTACATTTATCATGAGTGAAGGAAATAATCGAATAATGGAAAAAAGTACAATGTATTTAAAAAATTTATATTCAGATACTGCATAAATATTCTTACCTTATAATAACAAAGAAATAATATTTGCATGGAAACTTTTTTAATTATCTTATTTTCGAAAAAAATATTTAATTCTTAAATTGCTAGACGATTAAACCCTATAGCAATCGAACCTTTTATATAATTATTTTAAAGAGGAGAGTAAATATTTCTTAATTAAATGAAAACAAACAAGCTTCCTAAAAAATACATTAAACTAAAATCAGAATATAAATATGACCTACTATCTTTTGCACTGCGATTTGCATTATAACGACCTAGATACCCGGATGATGTGTCGTCATTATTTGTTATGCTTTTAGCCATATATGGGGTAGGTTTCTTCGATTACATTTGTCTATACATTACATCTTGGTTTATACCAAGATCAATATTTTATACTGACATGCCCTCTTTTTTCTTCCTCTCCTTATTTTTCCAAGAAATTTTATTTCATCTAATCTTCGCAGTAGGTGGTAAGCATCTAACATATTAATGGATTAAACATATTGTAAAGTTCCTAACTTATGCTCTTTAATCTTGGCAATAATTATTGCTACCCCTAGACTTCTTCTTGTAGATGCATTCTTAATTTTATCATTTATTGTGAATGCACTGATCCATCTGAGCATTCCCATTTGAGCACAGATAGCCAAGCAGCATTGGAGGCTCTTATAAAAGCCCTAAGGTTTAGTATATACTAGTGTGGAAATGCCAAAAGGAACTCCACAGACTGGAGAAACATAAAAGTGTTTAACTAAAATGGGTTTCATTTGACCGAGCACTACTTGGAAGAAGAGCATCAGCAAAAATCCCCCAGTCTCGAGCCGACTGTGAAAATTGCAAAGGAAAATGCAACATTTCTCTTACTGGGATATACAGCAGGTCAAGCACATGGAAAGGTCTGACATACGCTAATCGAGCTGAAGTATTAGGGAAAATAAACAAGACTCAGCTAAGAGTCACAACAAACTTTCTTACTGGACATGTGCCAGTAAAGACATACCTATAATCAATAAAACTATTTTATGGAGACTTTTGTAGCAAAGGACCTAAATAAGTTAACCACATCCTTAATGACTGCGAGGCATTAAATCAAAAGCAACCGTGGATACCTTAAATGACTTTTAAAAAAATATATGATACTCATCCTCTAGAGCTGTAAAAGCTGGTAAGTCATTTGAGAATCCTGAAATGGGTATCAATAAATGAATTGAGGGCAAGATAACTGGCTGCAATATGACAGCTGCTTAAAAGAGACTGCTTTTAAAAAAGTTATTCTCATTTACGCATTTGTTGTTATTTTTTTCTTTTTATCTACCCGTCCAAAATTCAATTTCGTATATTATGTCT